AATCACATATTTCGTTTATGCAACACAATACACCCATTTGGTACGAGAAGTCCAAAAGTCATTGCGCTGCATGTCACAAACACATTCATTGACCTAGTTCCTACGTGCAAACATTTAAACAAATTAATACGAAATCCACACAAAAAAAAGAATATGTGAATCTATACAAATACATCCGTTAAGTTTATAATACTGATATAAGTTCATATGTGTGATGTTATGATATCACTTTAGTCATCGACCTTTGGTATTTAAGCAAACCAGAATCTGAAATATATATAGAATGCATATTTTCAGATAGTATTATAAGTAGAGATTTGGGGAGGGTTTTCATTTAACAAGGTGGAATATGCTTCACTTTTTTCTTTTAACACTAGTTATCGTCATTTCAACTAATATTTATCAAGTTTGGAATGTAGATTCACTAGTATTGACAAGATACATCGTCTTTATGTTATAATATGAAAATTATGCTTATAATTTAGAATTTGAGCAAGTAATCTCCCGAACTTCAGGTTATGAATATATAATAAATGAATTTAGTTTGATTTTAGCTGGTGAAGGTCTACTAATTTATATACCTAGAGAACGAGCAACACGAGAATTCATTGAAAGAATTTCTGGTTTTTCAATTAATATTTATTCAAATTCTCATTTCAGATAGTAAAACATTATTTGTAAATTCAATAAAAATGAGGTGCACCGGATGATTGAGACAAGATATGTTTTCATATCGGCTGGATCTTTTTGCACCAAAAATCAATATCTGGGGAGGCGAAACTAAAAAAAATAATTGAATGAGGTCAAAAGTGCTCCAAGAGTTATAGTTTGAGGACTACAGATGAATTTTTTAAATATTTAGACATACATCTCTTGTCTCTATCATCTGGTGCAATATTAAAATTTTATGTTAGGACTTGGGGTGGTTAGATGAAGAAATGCTATCTACAATTGAACATTCCATGTGATGGGATGATGCTAGTCTTTAATTGATCACTGTTTCCTGCAATTATAGACCACCCTCCATTTTGTCTCATGAAGGATTCATAAATATAAATATACAAGTCGTCACATCGCTTCTTCTTAGCAAATGAGTAGATGTCAACACATTTTTGACACATTGAAACATTACATATTGACGTCTTCCCATTTGCTAAAAAAATGTAACGTGGCAAGGTGTAAAAATATATCTTGGGCGACAACAAGTTCGAGATAGTAGATTTTGATTCATACACTACTCCTTTTATACAGAGAGACATTTAGAAGAACAAAATGCTTCTAGTTACCAATATATTTTGTACTGAATGAACAAAATAACAGAGAATAACAGGTTGAGTTATTACTGTACTTAGAAGAGACATACAAACGTTCAACAAAATAATGACGGGTGGTTCTTTAGAAGAGCCATTTGCTTATTTTTTTAATGCAAAAATAATTGAATGTATGACATTTCAATTAAACTATTGTATTCTGAAGTGCCAATAAACACTTTAGAGGACTTGATTCTTCTTATAGAACTAGTGGTGGGTGATGTAGTGTAAACAAACATTCTTTGGATTGGTGGACTTTCTGTAGGTCTTCATGTTCTAAGGCTCGTAATAGGTACAATCCTTCAACGATGATTCATGTTGTGTTTCGAAAAATTAATGTGATAGGTAGACACAAAATATCATCCATGGGTACACATGAATCGTAATTTTAGCATTTGTGTCAATATGTCTCTGCAAGCACAATTTTCGTTAATAGATAAAGATTCATGACATGCATCTAGTTAGAGAATGCAAAATAATCTCAATCAAGCATCAAGTATCTGAACAAAGTCCATATAGTCTATTCAATAAAGATGATCACCAGACCAAATAAGAATGTGTTCAACATTTTATCTTCACTATCCTACACATATGTTCAGAATCATCATTAGCCATATTCCTTTTGAATGAGGCAAGTGTTTTCTTGCCTGCATTACCACAAATGAGTAAGGCATGATAGAGAATATATAATTTTTCTAGTTGAGATCAAGGCATGCTAAAGCCAACACTTGGTCTAATCTGCCGGATGAGAGGTGGATGGAGAGGGAAAAATGGGCACTGATATCATTTAAAAAACATTGGGAGTAATTTTTGATTACTTTGACATTTAAAGTGCTCAGCACCACTTACAATTACAAAAACCACCAAGTGGGCAAAAAATAGAAATGCATTTCACAATTTGTGATCGTGTCTTCGTGCTAGACTTGAAATATTTGTTCTCATTTTTTTTTTTTTATTTGGATAAGAACATTTTATGGGTTAAAGAATGTTAGTTTTTTAAAAAGTTATCAAATCCTAATAACATTTAGTAAAATTATTTAAAACGTGTGTTTGCATTCAATGGTTACTTGTCTAAACAAACAAGTTGTTCTCGGTCGAATAAAAAATGCATAACTTTTTTCAAAAAAATAAATTAATTTTATCACACATTATTACAAAAAATTATAATAATTATTGTTCCTATTTAACTTAAATAAATGCTCCCATCTCAATCAAAAGGAAAAGATGTCTTAAGAATTAAGAAAAAGAGAAGGAAAAGAACAAGAAAAAGGCTGAGACACAGTGCCATCAAGTGGGCACAATTCCTGCTCAGCTCATACGGCTTGCTTGTAGTTAGGAAAATGTAGTTAGAAAAATGGCTTATGAACAATAGTTAGAAACCCACTCTTCATATAATTAGAGATACTTTTTTATTCAAAATTTCCTTGTTTTCTCATTTATTTATTATAATAAGAAACTAAAATCTTGTAAAAAAATTTAATCGTCTCAACCATTAATACTTTGTCTATTTTGTCGTCTTATTTTCTATTGATATTAGAAGTGGCACCTAATAAAAAATTAAAAATTAATTGTAATCAAGTTTTTTAAGTTATTGTTATATCTACATACAAGTCATTTTGACCAAAAAAAAAATATATATATATTATGTCGAATTTTGTAATATATTTATATATAACTATTTTATTTATTATTAGTGGTTCGACCCTGGTTCGACCTTTCGATCCTTGACACTTTAGCTTTTCTGGGTTTATGGTCGGGTCGATTTTGAAAACATTGCTTTTTTCAAGTCAATATTCTTATTGAGCTCATGTTTGATAGAGATGTTTTGAGAATAGATTTTGTGAAACATGATTTTTTTGAAGAATGTGTTGTTAAAAAATATGAAAAATTTATAAATCCACATGCAAATTTATTTCATTGAAGAAACATATGATTGGAAATGAGTGTGTAAAAAATGAGCGTTAAAAATAGGGACCAAATGGTAGCTAAGTTTTACAACAATTGTTATCTACTTGAAAACAATTAATTTTGGTGGAGATTACATTCATACATGATTTTCAACTTTCAACTTAAAAAAATCAGGTTCAAAACTTATTTTCTTAAAAAATCAGATCATAATTCAGTTTTTCAATATTAATAATAATATTATTAAATTACTCTCTCTAATCGCTCGACCTCTCTCTCCAATCTCTCTCTACAAACCCGTCCAATCACCATCATCGGAAGCCACCCACCGCCTTCCCATCTCACACCCAGTGGTAGATCGTTCAATGGAGAGTGGTGATGGAATTGAATGGGTCAGATGAATAACGATTATGACCAATTATTGAATAATTGTGACCAATTAATTTAATAATTTAATAATTTTAGATTGACAATATTCATTGCATATAGGGTTAAAGTCGAATTAAGTGGTCCAACCCATTGCGTGTTAGAAAAAAAATCCTTGTGATTTGTTGAATTGTTTTGTCGAACTTCCAACTTGTACTGCTATTTTCTCTTGTTAACATCAAGACATTAGTCCAAAATGGAAAAATATAAAAATAAATAGAAACTTAACCGACAAGCATTTAAAATGTTTAATTGACCATAGAATTGATACAAACAAAAGCAGAAGCGCACAAGAATTAAGAAAGTCATTCCCATATGACTCCTAACATTTGATACATATTTATATAAATAAACACATGTTTTTAAGAATTAAGAGCTTGTTTGGTAACACTAAAAATCCAATTAAAATTGAAAATATAGCCGTTATTGGGTCCTACTCGTCTAATAAAAGTAAACAATAACGGCTAGTTTTTCAATTTTAATCCGATTTTAATCTCTACCAAACACACTCTAAAGTTTTTAGAAAAAACAATTTAACATCGGAGCATACAAAATTTATGATTCTTTACTCGTTTATAAAAACCAATGTAATTAGATTGGCCCGGTCTGTCCCAATTCGATATGTAAAAAATCGGAATCGGTCCAAAGTTGGGTTAATTAGATAGAAAAATCAATTTTCTAAAAAATCGTTCAAAAACCTATCGACCTGCCCATTTTTATGAAAATCGTCAACTTGTTTCTAATTTCACCGATTTATATTTATGGAAAACCCCCAAAAAACCAATCCAAAAACCCATTGTTTGATTTTTTTTTTTTTTGGATAAATTTACTTATTTAATTATTATTTTTTAAATCATTGATTGAATTTTGATTCTATCCTATGATCCTTGACTCTTTTTCTTTTTCGAACTGATATTTGTATCGATTTTTAAAACATTGATAAAAATTACATATGACGGTTTAAAAATTATTTTCGACTTTTTTATTAATAAAAATTAATTTAAATAAATAAATAAATATGTCTAACAAGTGAGCTTTTAAACCATTACAATTTACATAACGCATACCAAGTCTGAAAGTCATCCTCATTTTTGGTTCTTCCGCCTTGACCCCATTCTTGATAATTATCGGTACAGATTCATTTCATTATTTTAATTCCACCTATTTCTTTGATACTTCCTTTCGACCTTTTCTTGATTCTTTCTTCCCACCGGTACACCCCCACTACAACCACCAAAAATCTTCATATACCCCCAATCATCTTGTGCCTTTTCAGTTAGAAATTCTTGGAATCCTAAGCCTTATTTACGCTAAGATCTTTGAATTTTTTTTGTGTTAATCGAAGAAATCAAGAGAACCATGGCGGAAGAGCATCGATTCCAGGCTCCTGAAAGCCATCGCTTGTGTTCGAATAATTGCGGGTTTTTTGGTAGTCTTGCTACGGAAAATTTATGTTCCAAATGCTACAGGGACCTGTTTTTGAAGGAGACCCATAAAAAACCCGGAGATTCTCCTTTAATTTCCACGCCTTTGGTGGCGGAGACCGCTCCGCGACCGCCGCCGTCCACGGTGGCGCACTCATTTTCCTCGACGGTTTATAGGGAGTGTCCGGAGGTGGAGACGGTGGCGCAGCCCAACCGATGCTTCACGTGCAGGAAGAAGGTGGGATTGACGGGTTTTAAGTGTAGGTGTGGGACCACTTACTGTGGGACCCACAGGTACCCGGAACAGCATGGGTGCAACTTTGATTTCAAGGCCATGGGAAGGGAAGCCATAGCCAAGGCCAATCCTTTGGTCAAAGCTGAGAAGTTGGAGAAGATATGATCATAGCCGTCCAATTTAATGACTTCTCATGTTGATGGATCGTGCAGATCGTGCAAGGACGATGATGAGTATAGATAATTTATTAGGGGAACTTGTGAAATTGATGTGCATAATTTCTATCTTTTTTCTATTTTATTTCTTAAAACTTAAGTTATGTGGTCTTGGCTTGCTTGTAGAAATGTGTTGATAATTTAAAAACTAGTTTTGAGGGTTTCATTTTCCTTGAATCCAATTGCGATAAAATTTACAATCATGCTACAGTGTCATAATCTTCCACATACACACGAGATTCCATTATTGAACAGTATTCACCGCAATCAGCTTATCTTATTTCACTGCATCTATTGTTGGAGACACCACTGTGTTGGAGAAGAAACTTAACAAAATATGCAGCAACAAATTATAAACTTGAAACCAAGAAATTAAACTTGAAGAATTCCGTCAAAGACTTGATCACGATACCATTGTCGTCAAACAATATTTGCTTCATTTAGGATTGATTTAATGCTTG